CCCCTTTCCCACTTCCGGTTTCCCTCTGCCCTCCTTTCAGATCCTTTCTTGCTTTCCCAGCTTTATCCCTGGGGAAATGCTTCCCTCTGATCTCTGGCGTGGTTACTCGCACTGGAATGGACCTCCCAGGGTGTTAGGGTGTTACTGTTCACCTTTTATCTCTTGATTGAACGCTGGGATGCTGGCTGCTTTGGGTTGCAGGTTTGAAGCCTGTCCAAAGGCCCCCAGCCTGTCAGAAGAGTTAGCCAAGATTGTTAGGAGAGATTCGTTTGATTCATCAGTTTTCTCCCATTCTTTCAGTACCCCTGTTGCAGTCTCCTTCAGAGTGGCCTGGACACCCGGTTGGCTCTTCTGGTCTCTGGCTCATGGAGGCTGGGGTTCGAGTTGTCTATTCATCCTGAGGACTCCCAGTTTCCTTGCGTCTTTGATTGTCTTCCCTTTCTGTGCTCTGGAGGGGGCCAGACCAGTCCTAGGTGGCTGCTCACAGCTGGTGCACGGGCTTTCATTGACGAAAGTTTTTAAAGTAGCGTGTCAGTCGGCAAACTGCTGAACCTTCTCCACCATGGGTGACCTCGCTAGCATTTGAGGACACTGATAGCCTAGCTTCTAACCAGCCACCACACTGGGACAACCTGACAGACCAGTGTGGCCTTCCAACTTTGGGCCTCACTACTCACTTGGGCCAAGTGCCTCTGTGCCCTTTCATCTTTTTGGTTCCTCCCCTCCCCTGAAAACCTAAACAATCCTGCTGAGATTGGTCGTTGCAGGTTTAACTCCTGCACAACCACCCGTGTGCCACCTGTGGTGGACATCATACTGGAAACCTCTGTACTTGCCTTTTGACTTCAAATCCCCTCTACCAAGGCCCTGGTCAAACCCTGTCACCTCGTTACACCCGCCCTGATTTTCCTCGTCAAAAGCTGTGTCTCCTTGCCCTGAACATGTGTAGCAATTCATTTGTCTGTCTCTCAGAGTGCCTCTACTATTCTGTACGCAGTCTTCTAGTTATCTGGCTGCCTCACACTCTCTGGAAAGAGCACAGACTCTCTGAGGCCCCGGAGTCTCCTTTTTCTCCCTTACGTGCCACAAAGCACCGAGCCCAATGCCTTGCGTCTACTGTCAATACTAAAAAAAGCAGGCACGAGCTTCGTGTGGTCACTGGTTACAAGAAATCACAAAAGATCACACTAAAATTGTTTTTAACTGAAGCAGACTCGGGAAAGATCCATCTAAAGTTGTGATTCTTGATAAACACCCAGGTGTGGGAAATGCGACCGCCTGTGTCTTACATGAAGTCATCTACGTCATTGGCGGGCACTGCGGCTACCGAGGAAGCTGCACCTACGACAAGGTGCAGAGCTACAATTCAGACATCAACGAGTGGACTCTCATCACCTCCAGTCCGCATCCAGGTAACAAAGGAGTGTTTCAAAAGCTGCATGCTGTGGTTCAATTTACCAGCATGAGGGATGGCTGAAA